ACCATAAAAAAAAGACGTATTTGAAAATTTGAAAACATATTAGACTGAAATATAAATAAAAAATTAGTCTGCTTCATTAATGTTCAATGCTTCCCGCACAAGTATCCATCGTGCTGAGTGCACCATGAAAGTCACATGGCTTGTCCTATAAAAGCAATTTTCTATTTTCATTCTTAGCTGGACTGATTGAAATTAATTCTTCTTCAGAATTTAACATGCATATGGTGGGCAATCAACTGAAGAGATAACATTAATATATCTACAAGAGTTTTATTACTCTTATGTTAAATGAGATAAGTTATTTTATGTCATATAGATAAATTTGTGGGCTCTATCATCTAAAAATAAAAAAATAAAAAGAAAAAGATGACACAGTGTGCAGGAGAAAAAATTTATCTAAACATGAAAATAATTTTTTCCTATCTGAAATAATTAAGAACATTACAGAAGGAGGACGTATATTTAAGGATTTAATATTTCTTATATTATAGAAGATAATTTTATCTTCTATACATATATAAAAATATATGGGACTCATCTGAAATTATGTAAGGAGAAGAGTGAGAAAAAAGATCCAGATCTCATACACTTTTATATATGGGCTTATCGTTTCTCAAGGTGTTTGAGATAATTTTATCTCTGGCTACTAAATCATAATCGTACAAAGATGAATCAACGGTGATAAAGGAAGAGAGAGAAAAAGGAAATCATAACCATTCAAAAGTAAATCAATTAATATAAGAAAAAAACAAACAAAACGACGTAATTTTGGTGTGGCCGGAGATAAATTTATCTCAAATTGATGGAGAAATATTTTTTCCTTTATATATATAGGGTTCGTTTTTTTTTTTTTTTGCAGTTACTGCAGATAAGTTATCTGCAGTAAGCCCAATACGATGTCGTTTTGGACGAAAATCATGGTGTTTTTCTAATTTTAATTTATTTCAGGGTTATAATAGTCTTTTTATTTATAATTTTTTAAGATTTCAATACCAAAACGACGTCATTTTAGAAAAAAATACAAATACTACAATAACTGCAGAAATATTTTTTTCATATATATATATATATATATAAGAGGTAAAATTATTTCCTATAACATAAAAAAAATTAAACCTTTATACCTAAATCTAATAATTAAAGTAAACTATAAAATTCAAATGCAAATGGTGAAGAAGATAACAATATTATATCTGAAATAATTAACAAGATAACAATATTATATCTAAAATAATTAACAATGAGTAGGACGTTTTACCGAACTGGCGAATGAGAGTGCTCAACAGATCAAGTGTATATATATACTTGAGATAATCTTATCTCCGGCTATTAAATTATAACCGTACAAAGATGAATCAATGGTGATAAAGGAAGAGAGAGAAAAAGAGAATCATAACCATTCAAAGGTGAATCAATTATTATAAGAAAATAAATAAATAAAACAACGTAGTTTTGAGGTAGCCAAAGATAAACTTATCCCAAGCTGCTTGAGAAATATTTTTTTCCATATATATGTATGGCTTATTATTTCTCAAGCTGTTTAAGATAATTTTATCCCTGATTATTAAATCATAATCGTACAAAGATGAATTTAATGCTTTCAAGTATATATATGGCAACTATTTGATTGCTGCATGTGCAGCAGCTGCAGAAATGTAAACCCTTATATATACTTGAAAATATTAAATGCGAGGAATCATAACCATAAAAAAATAAAAGCATTAAATATGGAGAATCATAACCATATACACCTATCGTTGCTGTATGTAGAGCGAATACAAAAATAATTTTACCATATATATATATATATATATATATATATATATATATATATATATATATATATCCTCGTACATGATTAATTAATATATAACACAGATATATATCCTCGTACATGATTAATTAATTAAATTAATATATACATGGGTTTTACTTTGACTTTATCTTTGTCCATTTAAATATAAACTCGTTGAGATTTACGAGGCGAGAATAAAAATTGGAGAGTATGTACACCTGTAACACAGATATATATCCTCGTACATGACTAATTAATTATAGATATATATCCTCGTACATGATTAATTAATTAAATTAATATATACATGAGTTTTACTTTGACTTTTTCTCTGTCCATTAATTAAAAATAAACTCGTTGAGATTTACGAGGCGAGAATAAAAATTAGAGAGTATCCCAACAACAACCCATTCACATGTTGTATAAGTATCTTGTCCCAACATTGGACAATATTAAACGGTGCTACCGCTTGATGACGAGTAGAGTAATGATACGCACCACACATATTGATATTATCATAAATATCGTTGAGTTTTTATTCACTACTTTGTTATATCATCATTGTTTCGATTGTTGAAATCAAATATTTATAATTATAAAAGTTTTATTTAACAGACAAATATTTAATATATATTTGAATTACTTTATTTTGTTTGAAAAAAGTTCTAATCAAAATATTCTAAGGAAAATATTTGGTCAAAAATATTAAACATACTTATGATCATATAAAATATAACAGAAAGTCACATATTTAAATTTAAATAATTATATGATTCATTTTTCTAATTTTTGATGATATTCAAATGCACTTTTTAACTTTATATTCATAATATAAATAAAAAAGATATTATTATTATTTTTTGGTAAACAAAAAGATGTTATTTTATTTCAATATTGTAATTACATTTTTTTCAAAATATACAAATATTTGTAACCATATACTACTAAAAAAGTCCTTTTTCCACGGAAATTTTATGTGGCAAATGGTAGAAATTTGGTTAAAAATGAAGTTTTCGACAAAAGTATTGACAGATTACAAGAGATCAAATTTCTTTTGATCGACAGTAATTTTTTCGATGAAAATTTAAATTTCGTCAAAAATTTAGCCGGAATAATTTTGGTCGAAAGAAAATTATTTTGTCAAAAAAGGACAGCCATAAAATACTATTTATTTAATGAATTTCGCAAAAAAATCGACAGAATATTTTTCGTTGAAAAGTTTTTTCTAAATTTGCAACAAAATTTAACTAGAATTTTGTTGAAATTTTGTTGAAATTTCCGATGAAAAAATCAATGAAATTTCGTCAAAAATTATTGTAAAGATTTTTGACAAAAAATTTAGTCCATCAAAATGATCAATGAATTTATGTGTAAAATTGTTGCCTTAATTTTCGACAAAATACATGGTCTATTTTTGAAATATTTTTAAAATAATTTTCTCTCTACAAAATTAATACCAATTTATGTATCGTACCTGATAAACAAATATAATCAAAGTAAACAACATATCAAAATCACAGGAAATTAATCAATACAATCAAATGTACAAAAGTCCATATCATATACTAATCAAATACATCCAAGCAGTATTAACAAAATTCATGCAGCTGAATAAATTTTTCTCTACATCAAAATTATTACCAATTTTTGTATTGCACCTGATAAACAAATATAATCAAAGTAAACAACATATCAAAATCAAATCTACTTAATCAATACAATTAAATATACAAAATTCCATATCATATACTAATCAAATAGCTTAGGTTTATATGGATTGAGACATGGAGAGGTAAGCCATCAACATCGCCAACTGCTTTTTCATAACGTCACCTTTCTCTGCAACTCTTGATTTTGGGTGTGATAAACCTTAGCTCATGATAATTCAAATTTTCTAGAGATACATGACCCGCCTTTGCAAAATCAACATGAGAAATCAACATGATAAGCCTCACTAAAGCTTGCAAGTTAATGATCTTTTGAACTTCAAGTTCAATCATATTTGTACGTGGATCAAGATAATTCATTCGATTTTCTTTCTAAAAAATTTCTTGGGATTCTTTAAGCTTCTGGCTTTCTCCCCCTAATGTCGAGAATTGTCCCTCATTAAATATACAATTAGCAAATCAGGTAGTAAACAAGTCACCGTCAGGGGCTTCAAGTATTTAGCTATAGGTGGGGTCTCATAATCCACGTAAATGCCCAACTTCCTTTGAGGCCCCATTTTAGAACTTTGTGCAATGGGTATAAGGACATATATAGCACAACCAAAGGTGCACAAAAGGGAAACATCATGTTCATATTCACATACAAGTTGAAAAGGGGAATATTCATGATATGCTATTTGTAACAGCCCTTATATATCCGGTTTGTTATCATATCATCGTATTAAGCCACGCTTAATTTAAAAATGCGGAATATCTTTTTCTTTTCAATTATGACGTCATTATCATTAGCCAAGTTGAATACTTAATTCATTTCATAAAACATCGCCTATATGTAAATTGCAAAAGACATCTAACTGAAATACCTCAATATATAAATAGCATAAATGTGTCTTTAGTCACGGAACTAGAACACGCACTACTAGAAAATTCACAATCAGCGAGGGACAAATTCCCTCACAAAAATGGAAAATTCCCTCGCAAAAACGGTCTGCAACGGAATTTGTGAGGGAACACGGTCGATCGCTAAAACCGTGGTCGCAAAGATATTTGCGTGGGAAATTTATCATATGCAAATTCCCTTGCAAATTGCTACGGAAACATTCCCTCGCAAAAAAGAAATTTCCCTCGCGAACAAGTTATCTGTCTATAGTGTATTTTCGTCGCAGATTGCAACGAAAATTTTGAGTATAATTTCCCTCACAAAATCTGCGAGGGAATATGTGAAATTTCCATCGCTGAATTTGCGAGGGACTGTATTAAATTTCCGCTGCAAAACTTGCGAGGGAATATTTTTATTTTTCCCTCGCAATAGTCTACAAATTTTGCAAGGGAATTTTTAAAATTTCCGTCGCAGATTTTGAAATTAAAAAATAATAATTAGAAAATGAATTAAACTTTTGCTAATTTTTCTGTAAACAATACAAATTCCAAATGAAGATAAATACAAAAATTGAGCAACAGAAATCCAAAAAATACTGCATAAACAATTAAATTAAAATTAAACGATATATCAACAAAAGTGAACAACAATCCTCAAAAATACAACTAAAAGTTCTAAACAAAATAAAACATACAAAAAATATTTGATATATGTCTCTGAAGTCCTAAACAAAGTAAAACATACAAACAACAACTAGTATGCCTCTAAAGTCCTAGCAAAGTCATCATCATCATCAGGGTCATCATCCGGCGCTGGTCCCTTCGTCTTATTGCAGTTGGCTTCCTTGTCCTGCATTAGAAGTCGGAGTTGTTCTTGCATTTGTTTCATAATTTCAGCTTGCTGCTTCATAAAGTCCGCTTGTTGAGTTAGCTGCTCTGTCTGCTGAGTTAGCTGCTCTGTCGCAGCATCCAATTGCTCCCGAATCTGGAAGTGGGACACCTTCATCCTTTTAAGCCCATCTGCAAATACATTATTATAAAACAGTAAGTTAAATGTTTAAAATAAAATATTAATAGAATAGAGATTGAAAACATAAAAGAATTAACTATGCATTGAGTTTACCTGCAGAAAGACTGTCAACCTGGGTAGAGGGCCGCTTACTAGGCTTCAGCCGGCTAGCATATCCTCCCAGCCCGACCACCCTTCCTTTCTTGTTGAATCCACCTGCAGCTATAACCAACATGTTCCCATTATCAGAATAGGAGGAGCTGGATTGACCGTCTGTCGCCGCCTGTGCGGACCTCTCATCTTCAAGTTTTTGATAATTTTCCTGCAAGTAAAGAAAAACCAGCACACATGTGGACATGTAAAACATGACATAAACCATCATAGGAAAAACAAACGTCAAATAATAAATGATCAAACCGCTATTTGCTCCGCTCTAGGGCTTAACCACCGCCTTTGACCAGCTTCAAGCTGCTGGGAATGAGTTCGCTCAAAGGTAAACCAATCAACCTTTTCAGGTGGCACTTCTCCAGAAGCCTCCTGGAAATACAAATGAAAATCATTAATTCATTAGTTGCAAGTACGAATTGTTGAATACTGAACTAGAAAACAATTTATACTTACTATATTTTGTCGATGCTTGCTGATTGGAATCGACCCTCCAGCATATGTGGGTGTTTCCTGCTTGGACCTATTTTCCTTATTTTGAGCAGATCTCTTTTGAAACTTAAGGCAGTTCTTCCATTTTTCTTTCAATTGGATTTTTAAATTTTCACTACACCATGCATTTTTGCCGATGTCATATCTTACTCTATTCATTTTATGTGAGAACATTGTGGTGGCTTTGTGATGCCAAGCTCTTACCAGGTTATAGCGGTCCTCGGGCAACCACCTATAATGCTCCTGTAAATTGCCAATTTTTTCTATTAGCGCACAAATTGGTGACAAATGTGTAGTTAGTATACATTCTTGTAATAAAACATTAGCAATAACGAGATATACATAACTTACAAGGAATTCATTCAACCAAGCACGTTGAGTGTCCTCAGGAATATCTTTCCAGGTGCTCCATACTTGAGTAAAATTACGGAATATTTGATCTTTAATGAATTTCATGATCTCATTATAAGGTTCGAACCTGACAATATTAAATCAATTTATTTGATTATAACAATTGAGAAATGCTAGAAGCCACATTAGTACATCATTAGAAAGAATTACAACTTACTCTGTGGTTCTTAAAGGACGAACCCATATACGTCTAGTCTGTGGATCACAACTCCCCCACTCTGGCTGAAGTGTCGAAGCAGCATCTCCTACCTCGCTTGCAGGGGATGCAGCCTGCAAAAGGGAAAAAATATTAAGCATTAAAAAAGTTAGTACATAGATGCTTAAAAGAAACTATAATATATATCTAAATCATAAAATGATGGTTTACTTAACCTGCTGTGTCGGCCCCATCGGGTCAGAGGGAGTGTGAGGAATACCCGCACTTCCCATAACAGAGTCGGTGGTAGATGGTGATGATCCTATCTGAAGTGGAGGGAGGGATGGGGAAGCTCTACGACCTCTACCAGAGGATGCAGCCTGCAAAAGGGAAAAAATATTAAGCATTAAAAATGTTAGTACATAGATGCTTAAAAGAAACTATAATATATATCTAAATCATAAAATGATGGTTTACTTAACCTGCTGTGTCGGCCCCATCGGGTTAGAGGGAGTGTGAGGAATACCCGCACTTCCCATAACAGAGTCGGTGGTAGATGGTGATGATCCTATCTGAAATGGAGGGAGGGATGGGGAAGCTCTACGACTTTGTACCTGTCATGTTGACAAAACTCACATTTGGTGCGCTCAATGTTATCACCATAATATAGCATACATCCTTTGGGGCAGCAATGAATCTTTGTGCATCCAAGCCCAAGCTCTTTCACCTTTTTCTTTGCTTGGTAAAAATCCTTCGCCAAATTATTGTCTTTAGGAACAACCTGACGCATGAGCTGCATCCAGCCGTTGTAAGCAGACTCACTCATATGGTGATCACTCTTCAATTGTAGTGTTGCTAGGGTTGCTGATAACGTTGTATGTTCAGTATGTTGAATATGTTCACAACCTTTCCATAATGGACGTTGAGCATCTTGAAGCATATTGTAAAACCGTTCCGCTTCCGGATTAGGATCCTCTGCCATGTAGGATGGTTCGGCATGAGTATCGGGTTCAAAATTTTGCCCAATCGACGGTCCCGCAGCATCCATAACCAACTGTTCATATTCGTTGAGGTTGTGTCGCTGACTAGTTTCCCCATAATAACCTCCCGGAATAGCATGTGGTTGCCGAACTTCCCCATGGATATGCCAACATTCATAGTCCAGAATGAAGCCCCATCTACACAGATGCTCCCTGACTTGGTCCGGCGTTCGAAATTTAAAACACTTACATTTCACACATGGACAACTGATAACGTTACTTGATGTACCTATTTGCTCCAGAGCAAATTGGATGAATGTTTCCAAACCCTCCAAGAATGCTCGAGTTAGTTGTCTTCTATCAGTTAGACGATTGTACATCCAACTCCTATCATGATCGTCTTCCATACTCCTGACTTTGTAAATATCAGAAAACACAAGGCAAAATACCATAAATATCACGACATCAGATTCCATAATAAGTGTGGAATTCAAATACCAGCAAACACCGAGAAATTTCCACATATATAATGCAACTTACTACAGTAAGTGGCAAACAAACACATGCATTCAACAATTCCAGCAAGCAACCAGAGAATGAGGGTAGTACACCAGAAAATGGGGACATGCATTTAGAGGGAGCACACAAAGAATGGGAAAGTACACAAGATAAGGGGGACATATTACGGGACACGATGTTTACTTTGGAAATATCACAACATCAAATAAGTATGTGCAAGTAGAAATACGATCGTCAACAGAAGATAGAGACATGTGTTTAGAGGGAGCAATCAAAGAATGAGAATGTACACCAGAATATGGGGACATACTATGCAACATGGGGCATTACATATATACAGCTATGTCATCACAATACAAGCATGCAATTATTTTTCATTCAAAATTTGTTACCTGAAAGACCTGAAGTAAAAAATCTCAGCGAACGGTCGATGCAAATGTGCACAAGAGAATATATGGTGAAATGTCTCCAACTGCACCAAACAAGCCAACCATTTGTTATTAAAAGATAATATAGTATGTATATGAATAAATACAATAATGATAATAGTTTAGCTGTCAAAAAGAAACTCGTATATTGAAATAATAAATTGAAAATAATTTAATCTTTATAAATTTGCATGTATACTAAAGGAAAGAATCATAGAGTAAAAACATGAAGTGGTAATAAATTCTGCTTGCAAAATCGTTTTTACATATCTTAAGAAATTTTTTCAAGGTAACGTATTATTTTTTCGTTTTACTTAAAGTCAGATTTGTTAAGACAGTTATATTTAATCTTTTAACAATTCTACTGCCCACTAATTAAGTACCACTTTCATAATACTCTTAGAAAGAACTATATTTTTAACTTTGATACCGAAAGTGCTATCACTTTGCTTCTCTTTCACACACACACACATATATTTCTTTTAATTACACACATATTTAGAGATTAGTAAATATAAATAATAAATATTCATAAAAGTAAAAGGAGTTTGTTAACATGACAACGGTTAAAAAATATTAATATTTTATTAAATTATTTCAATTACTTAAAAGAGTAAATTTGCAAAAATTGAAATGTTAATTTTTTATTTAATAATTTTTTAATTTTTAACCAGTCTCTTAATAACATATATTTGCAAAACCCACGATAAAAAATACAAAGATGACATGACATTGATAATTAACATGTATAAAACTATTTTTTAAAAAATATATATATATATATATATATATATATATATATATATATATAAAAGTGTATTTTGAGCGTGACATTATGTTAAGGATTTATTTGAGTCCCTTAATGTTGTGTGCGTGCAGTATAGAGAGTGTAATGGAACAGAGAGAATGGGAGAAAGAGGGTGGTAGCATGGATAGGTAGGCATGTGTATATGTGTGTGTGCGCACGTGAAATGAAGGAAAATTGATGATGATATGGTTCGTCTTGGCGTGTTTGGAAATGGAGGAGACATAGCACCGGCAAAGGAGGGAAGGGTTAGAGAGGCAATGAGGGCAAGGAGAGGATGCAACGCATGGATTAGCGCACCAATACGACACTATAGCAGTACCAGTTGCACTCCCTCTTCACTTCTCTCTCTCTCTCTCTCTCATTCAACACACTCCATTTTTTTTTTATATTCCCTCAAGTGGTTCATCAAAATTTAATTAGTCCAATTCCAGCACTATTCAACTACTCATACAGAGAATTGATCCAATTTAAGCATTCTCCGATTCATATAGGGCACTAAAGTGCTGCACAAAACCAAGAGTTACGACCTAAAGCAAAATATCATTCTTAGCTAACAATATGCTTCAACGTAATTATAAATTAAAAGTCAGTATTCCATCCAAAATTTATAGAAAGGAATCTAAGAAGCCAAAGAATGCAAAAGGAACGGAATTTGAACATGAAGTTTTTGAGACATGGAAACAGAAAGTTCAAGCAGAATACCAGGTTAACGTTCTCATGCATCACACATGAAGAGAGTGCAAGTCGCACAATAAAAAAACGTGCTCATGAAAAATATGATTATCTGTGCAAGCCACTCTTGGGAATGCATTTAGACTATTGTGATCTCAGTAAGAAAATTAACAAGATCTTATTATCCACTCGGACTCACGGATTTACTCATTTGCAAAAATCCCTTATTTGAAAAATGAGG